GGTTTTAGGAGCATCTTTAGCAAACCCTTGCTCCAGGAGGCTGCAGTGTGACCAGCTCTGAGAACAGGGCTCTGAGTGCAGGGGTTCGTTCTTCCTTCAATGGGAGTTCTGTAGAGGGAGAGGCTGAAATCCAATGTTAGACCTGTGGTGGGTTCACCAGGCCCATGAAAGCTTGTGCATAGACCCTTCACATGTCGGGCTGTCAGGAGCTGCTCTCTTGGCACTCACTCCAACTTGTACTGACCTGTTTTCTGGCCTGTCTCCCTATCTGTCTGCCAGCACTGTAAATCAGGGAGCTTGGGGCCCAGGGGAGTGGCTAGCATGTGCATTGTGCAGGGCAGGGAACTCTGTCTTCCCGAGTCAAACCCATGCCATTTTTGTAGCTGTTTAAGCAGCTGCCTTTGAGTAAGTGGATTCCAACCAGAGCAAAATATCATTTCAGATGATGGCTTGGTAAATACTCAGATGCCATACTGTGCTGTATAGCAGCTCCACTGCAAATCTGTCTAAGGCATTTATGATATGGCTATAATTTAGCCCCAAATAGGTATATTTACTTCTTTTTACTTTTCGCTGTTTATTTTTAATCATGTGTACATGTGTCCCGGTGTGTGGGTCTGCATGTTTACATGTGTCTCAGTGTGTGTGGTCTGTATGTGTATGTGTGTCCTGGTGTGTGGGTCTGTGCACATGAGTGCAGGTTCTCAAAGAGGTCTGCTCTCCTGGAAGCAGCATTGTAGGTGATTGTGAGCTGCCCTGCTTAGGTGCTGGGACCTGGACTCTGGTCTTCTGCTAGAAGAGCAGGTGCTCTTGACCACCACACTGTCTCTCCAGCCCAAAGCTGCTTATTTTAGCCAGGCAATTTTATTTAAACATAAAGCAGGCTTTTCAGTTAGGTTGGTAATTGTGTTTCTTGTTTTGTATGTATTTTTTTTTTTTTAATTTACTACAGGTCACAAGAAAGTCTATAATGTTTGAGAAAGATCTTCCTCCTTTTCCTTTCCTTCTTTCTTCCTTCTTCCCTCCCTTTTTCCTTTTTTCATACCTTTTCTTTCTTTGACACTGTTGCTCAGGCTGGTCTTGAATTCACAGAAACCTTCCTACCTTAGCCTCTTAGGGCATGCTGGGATTACAGGTATGAGCATCTTGCCTTCCCTACCCCGCCCCAAGACAAGTTCTCTCTACATAGTCTTGGCTGTCCTAATACACAGCTATATAGACTAGGCTGGCCTCGAACTCACAGACATCTGCAGGCCTCTGCCTTCCGGTTGCTGGGGTTAAAGTCATACCCAAACTCAAGTAACACTTATTAAAATAACTAGGTGAGGGGCTGGTGAAATGGCTCGGGGTAAGATGCTCAGTGTCAAGCCTGACTATATGAGTTTTATCCCAAGATTCACAATGGTGCAAAGAGAGAACTGACTCTTGCAAGTTGCCCTCTGACCTCTACACACATGTGCATGTATACACACATACCCAAACAAGCAAACAAGTAAGTGTCAGAAAGATTGTTTGGGTCGAGAGTGTTGCCCAGAGTACTAAAGTACATAATGCCCTGATTTTGACCACCCCATACTCACACACAAAGGAAAATCAGTGTTGAGTGTTCTTAAAAATAATAAGGAGCTTGAGAGATGGCTAAGCAGTTAAGAGCATTTCCTGCTGTTGCAGAAGGCCCAGGTTTGATTCCCAGTACCTACATAGTAGCTCCCAACCATCTATAACTCCAGTTCCAGGGAATCCAGTGCCCTCTTCTGGATACTGAGAGCACTTCATGCACACGGTGCACAGACTATCTAGAGACATGTCTCACATACATTTAAAAAAAAAACTTTATAGATTAGCTAAGTGGTTTCAGAACCTAATACTCATTGGGTGGAAGCAGTGTGTATGAAAAAGTGTTTGCAAGGATCTTACCTGCGTTCCCAGGAGTGGAAAGAGGAAACCCTGACTTCCAGGAAGCCCCTGAATGCACCCATCCTTTTCTGCTCTCTGTCCCTCCTACCCATTCTTCCTTCTGTTAACAATATGCACTATCAAGCATTTTTTTGACAGTTTTTGAGAAAATGTCTCACTAATCTCTGGCTGTCTTGGAACTCACTCTGTAGACTAGGCTGGCCTCAGGTTCACAGAGATCTGCCTGCCTCTGCCTCCCAGGTGCTGAGATTAAAGATGTGTACCACCACAACTGGCTAAGGGTTTTGTTGTTGTTGTTGTTGTTGTTTTTTTTTTGAGACAGCATTTCACTGTGTAAGATGGTCTAGGACTCACTATGTAGATTGAGCTGGTCTCCAACTCATAGATCCACCAGCCTCTGTCTCCCAAGTGTTGGAATTAAAGGCGTGTGCCACGGTGCCCAATTTGGGTTGTTTTTTTTTTTTTAAAGATTTATTTATTTATTTTATCTATTAATGCTCTATCTGCATGTATACCTTTATGCCAGAAGAGAACATCAGATTACACTATAGATAGTTGTGAGTGAGCCACCATGTAGTTGCTGGGAATTGAACTCAGAACCTCTGGAAGAGCAGCCAGTGCTCTTAACTGCTGAGCCATCTATCTAGTCTTTTAAGGTTTGTTTTTTAATTTATTTGTGGTGTGTGTGTGTGTGTGTGTGTGTGTGTGTGTGTGTGTGTAATATATAGTGTTCTCTCCTTTTGCTTTTTCATGTGTTCCAGAGATGAAGCTCAGGTCATCAGGCTTGCAGGTGGTGTCCCTTTACCGACTGAGCCATCTTGCTGGGCCCCCTTTCTCACCTTTACAG